CCTGTCTGTCCATCTGTCTGTCCCCATCTGTCCACCTGTCTGTCCATCTGTCTGTCCCCATCTGTCCACCTGTCTGTCCATCTGTCTGTCCACCTGTCTGTCCACCTGTCTGTCCATTTGTCTGTCCACCCGTCTGTCCACCTGTCTGTCCACCTGTCTGTCCATCTGTCTGTCCACCTGTCTGTCCCCGTCTGTCCACCTGTCTGTCCCCCCGTCTGTCCACGTCTGTCCACCTGTCTGTCCACCTGTCTGTCCATTTGTCTGTCCACCCGTCTGTCCACCCGTCTGTCCATCTGTCTGTCCACCTGTCTGTCCACCTGTCTGTCCACCTGTCTGTCCATCTGTCTGTCCCCCTGTCTGTCCACCTGTCTGTCCACCTGTCTGTCCACCTGTCTGTCCTCGTCTGTCCACCTGTCTGTCCATCTGTCTGTCCACCTGTCTGTCCATCTGTCTGTCCACCTGTCTGTCCCCGTCTGTCCATCTGTCTGTCCACCCGTCTGTCCCCGTCTGTCCACCTGTCTGTCCACCTGTCTGTCCACCTGTCTGTCCACCTGTCTGTCCATCTGTCTGTCCACCTGTCTGTCCACCTGTCTGTCCACCTGTCTGTCCTCGTCTGTCCACCTGTCTGTCCATCTGTCTGTCCACCTGTCTGTCCACCTGTCTGTCCATCTGTCTGTCCACATCTGTCCACCTGTCTGTCCACCTGTCTGTCCATCTGTCTGTCCACCCGTCTGTCCCCGTCTGTCCATCTGTCTGTCCACCTGTCTGTCCACCTGTCTGTCCATCTGTCTGTCCACCCGTCTGTCCCCGTCTGTCCACCTGTCTGTCCATCTGTCTGTCCACCTGTCTGTCCACCCGTCTGTCCACCCGTCTGTCCACCTGTCTGTCCATCTGTCTGTCCATCTGTCTGTCCACATCTGTCCACCCGTCTGTCCATCTGTCTGTCCACCTGTCTGTCCACCTGTCTGTCCACCTGTCTTGTCTGTTTGTTTGGTACCAGAGGGACAGAGACTCTCCTCAATCAGAACTGATCCAGAACTTTGACTCGTCTCCGTTTGAACTCCCATTTAGACCCAAAGACGGTCCAAACCAAACAGACTCAGTTCTGTCCCCTCAGCTCCTGAGGTCACTTCCTGTTGAAGGGAAGAAGTTCTGATCTGCTCAGTGTCCCGTGTTTTTCCTGTTTCAAGGTCTTGTGGTTTCAGGGGAACAGAGAGGGTCCAGGAGAGACCTGGTCCTGCAGGACTCCCAGGATTCCCCGCCCCCTCTCCTCCTCCTCCCAGCAGCAGCAGGAAGCTGCTGACTCTTTCTATCTCATCCAACAATGTCGTCCAGTTTCCTGTTTCCCTCGGCGCTTCAGGTTCTGTGTCTGAAGGAGGTCCACCAAGTCAGAGGCAGGTTCTGAACTCCTGAGGACCTGAACTCCTGAGGACCTGAACTCCTGAGGACCTGAACTCCTGAGGACCTGAACCCCAGAGGACCTGAACCCCAGAGGACCTGAACCCCAGAGGACCTTGTATGGTCATGAGACCTCAGACCTCGGTGATCTTCGTTGTAAAACACTCTGAGGTGACAGCAGGTCCTTCAGGACCTCTGAAGACCCCACGTTCCTTAAAGGAGGGACTGTTGTTCGGTGAACAAGGGGTCCAGTGTGACACAAACACACACTGAGGACTCCCTCCGGTCCCAGAGCGACGGGTCCAACACGGCGGTGTGTAGCAGGAGGGCGGGACGTGGATGACGTCCACGCCGTGTCGGTGCTGCTCGCCTGGGTGGCCCACTTCTTCTCTCACTTTGCCTCTTTGTTTGCCTCTGGACCAACGCCAGCCTGAGATCTGTGGGCCGCAGACACTGAATGATTCACTGCAGTGTGTGTGTGTGTGTGTGTGTGTGTGTGTGTTGGATGGGTGTCAGTGAGGTAACTCTCGCTGCAGCAAACTGGAGTCTTTATGTCCGAATGCTAACTAGCCTCTCATGCTATGACAGGCGGCAAGCATGTCATTTATTTTCGTGTGTGTGTGTGTGTGTGTGTGTGTGTGTGTGTGTGTGTGTGTGTGTGTGTGTGTGTGTGTGTGTTCTCATGAATTACATAATGGATTTTAATGAAATTCAGATTAATAATTGATCACTTTTATTGAACTTTTTGCTACCATTAGCTAGCCTTTGCATCTGTTACCATCCAGCTAGCATTTTGCTACTTTMAGAATCAAGTGTTTACTGTCATGGCTACCCTTTGCTGCTAGTATATTGTTAGCTTTTAGCTAGCCTTTTCTTACTGTTAGCATTTATGTATACTTTTGCTGCATTAAACTAGGCTTTTGCAACTTTTGGCTAACCTTTTACTACTAGTAGCTTTCAGAGGACTTTTGCTACTTTTAGCTAGCTGTTGCTGCTTTTAGCTAGCATTCTGCCACTGTAAGCTGCTAACTAAAATGCTGTTTTACTTTTAGCAACACTTTTTTTTACTGTTAGATATCCTTTTGCTACAATAAGCCCTGTGCTACTTTTAGTTAGCATTTGGCTATGTTTTCTTATAGATACATTTAGCTTCTTTTAGTTTTATTATAAACCTTTTGCTACTTTTGACCTTTAGTGTTTTTGTAGGTTTAGCTTTTCTGATTTTGATAGAAAAGGCCAGATGTTTCTGCAGCTAACCAGCATTAGCATACAGCTGAATTCTGAGTAGTAGTAGCTGAACTCTGGGTGGTAGTAGCTGAACTCTGGGTGGTAGTAGCTGAACTCTGAGTGGTAGTAGCTGAACTCTGAGTGGTAGTAGCTGAGAGTCACCAGGCAGCAGATGATGTGCTGTTCTTTAAGGAATTCCAGATTTAGTCTGAACTGTTTTTCCTCAGTTTTTATATWTATTTTGTTTCTTTAACAGGAAGTAAAATAAATCTTTTATGAAAAAGAAGAAATGTGAAGAAGGAAGTTTTAAATTCTGTCACCAGAACCAGTTTAAGATCAAAGGCTTTTAGAGATAAAGAGTCTTTTATCTGTCATCAGTCCTGAGACCAGCATGTGATCCGGTCCTCAGGTCTGTGGAGGACCAGATCAGCCTGGGTCCACCCTGATTCCAGACTCCTTGTTTATGTGATGATGTCAGCGGAGGTCCATCGCCTTGTTGTTTGTTTGTTTGTTTGTTTGTTTCACGGAGCTCTTTACGGAGAGGAGGAGGGACTCTGGAGGGACGGCTGCTCGCGAGGGGCTCAGCTGCTGTGGTTACTAACCCCTGAGCTCGGCCCGGTTAGCAGACAGGAAGCAGAATTATGATCAGACAGAAAAGAGTCTTCTTATGGAGAACATAAAAACTGTCATCACTGTGCAGCCAAATGAGAAACCAGAGGTTCTGGCCCGGAGGTTCTGACCCGGAGGTTCTGACCCGGAGGTTCTGATCCAGAGGAACAATAAAGATAAAGCTAATAAAAATGTTATTATGAACTGAAACCAGTGATGTTCTGAACTCACGTATGAAACTGAGCTCAAGTTAAAAGTATCAAAACGCTAGCTAAAAACTAAATGAGAGCTAAAGGCTGMAAGTATTGAAAAATAAGCTAAAAGGAACAAATTACTAGCCTCAAGCCAAAAGCATCAAAATGCTAGCTAAAAACTAAAAGTAAAAAAAGGCTAACCACAAGTGAAAAGTAGCCAAATGCTAGTTAAAGGTCACAAATGTAGTTAAAATCTAAAAGTAGCTAAAGTTTGGCTAAAAGCTAGAAATAACAAAACRTTGGTTTAAAAACTAAAAACAATAACAAACTAGTTTAAAGATAAAAGTAGCCTTATTCTTAAAGTGTTGCAAAAGGCTAGCTAAAAGACAAAATGAAGCAAAAAAATTGGCTAAATGTAGCACAATCTAGCCATAGCTAACTGCTAAAAGCCTAAAATTGCAGAACTTACTAACAAAGGCCTAACTTAAAGTTAAAAGTAGCCATTTGCTAATTAAATGTTGCAAAAGTCTAATTAAAAGCAAGAAAAAAATGCAAAATGTTATTTTTAAAATTAAAAGTAGAAGTAGCAGAATACTAGCCTGAAGCTAAAGTAGCATGAAAAGCTAATTAAAGCCACTTAGCTCTTAGTTTCTCGATGAACKGAAGAGATTTTTATTTATTTCTACTCGATATTTCAGAAAATCTAAAGTTTGTGAAGAAAAGAAGTCGCAGCACTTTCCTGATCTTTGATGATTTATTATTAATGCTGACTCAGCAGGTCTGACAGTAAATCATGAATCAAACTTCAGCTCTGAGACGGTTCAGCAGATCCTGGACCAGAAACAGATCCTGTCAGAACCTCATGACACGTTTCAGAAATAATGTCAGATTTCAGATCCCAAATATAAAAAGCCTGARTGAAAACTTTGAGTCTGTTTTGTGTCTGTGAAGCAGCGTCATTGATTCATGTTTTTATTTGTGTAGAAATACACACCTCAAATATTCTGCATGTGTTGTGATAATAATACTTTACTACAGTTTTTATGTAATTATAACTCTTTTTTAATTTTTGCTTTAATTGTTTAAATTCACGCTAAAAAGCATTTAAATATGAAAAAAAAGTTTTTATTTCTAATCTTATTTTTCTTCTTCTTGTCTTGCAGACCACATYAACAGAGGTGCAATTTGGACCAATGAAGTTATATAAAGACCCACTTCAGGTACTGTAAATAACGACACACCTGAGGGGGAGGAGCTTCAGCAGAACAGTCTGTTTTCAGTTTACAGCTGAAAGTTTCCATATTTGCTTCTAATTTCTCCAGTTTTAGATCTGAAGAATGATTTGTTTACAGATTCCATCTAAATGTAAATAAATAAACAAATAAATAAACAAAGAAGAGGAGAGTTCTGGTCCAAATGTTGAGTGGATGTATTGTGGTCCAAATATTCACACACCACACCAGACCATGAAGAGTGCACACAGGACCCTCAGAACCAGGACCGGACAGTTCCTTTGTGTTGCTGAAGAGCAGGCTAACTGTCTGTTAGCAAAATATTTCATGAACCACTGTGTTCATTGGATGTTACTGATTACCTCTTCAAGATGGCCGCCACAGCAGATCAGCACAAGAATGGCTGCAGCTCTGTCAGGTTTACAGACACTGAGCTAAAATTTAGTGTGKTAGTAGCTGAGAGTCAAATTTATCTAAAACTAGCAAAACTAAAAGTTAACTTTAGAAAAGCTGTAGCTAAAAGCTTATGTCAAAACAGCTACAAGCTTTAATTAGAAAAGCAGGTGCATAAAAGTAAACACTGTAAAACAACGGCTGAAAGCTAGATTTKCTAAATGGGACCTAATGCTACAATTAGCAAACCCATAGCTACAAGCTAATTTGAGCAGGAACAGCAAAAAGCTAAACTTGGCAAATAGAACCTAAAAGCTATCATTAGCAAACACAATGCTACAAGCTAAAATTAGCCAACAGATTAGCTAAAAGCTAAATACAGCAAACACAACTTAAAGCTGTCCTGATGCATCTCAGTAATCCAGGTAAAAAATCAAAAGGAAAAAAAATATAGGTCTTCTGGACGGGTTCTTCTCTAATGAAACGTTTCGTCTCTCCTCCAAGAGACTTCTTCAGTCTGAGAGTTTCAGGCTAAATTCAGGCTTTTAAGTCCTGCCTACAACTTAAAGCTGTAATTAGCAAAAATGTAACTACAAGCCTAAATTAAGAAAGTTGTCTGTAAAATCTATAATTACAAAACTGGAGATAAAAACTGGAATTTGTGAAACAGTAGCTAAACTCTGCAAACAGGACCTAAAAGTTTTAGTTAGCAATACCATGGCTACAAGCTAAAATGAGCCAGAACAATAGCTAAAATAAGCCTAGCAAACAACACCTAAAAGTTATTGTAGCTACAAGTCTAAACTAGCAAAGATGTTGCTAAAAGCTAAATATTCAAAGCTATAGACAAAAACTACAATTTTAAAACAGTAGCTTTAAGCTAAATCTGCAAACAAAATCTAATTGCTGTAATTAGCTTAGCCTTAGCTACAAGCTGGAATGAGCAGCTAAAGCTAGTTTCTGTAGCTAGTTTAAAAAATATTTTAGAAATAATAAAGAGCTCTCGATGTATTTAGAAGTTTTTAAACATATAATTTGTATTAAAGAATACAAGGCATCCTGTTCAGTGTTTTGATAAATGATTAAAACAGGACAATGTTTGATGACGTCATTAGATTCTTGAAAAACAAAACAAGCATCTGGAAAACTAAACAGCTGGAAAACAGTAGAGCGAATGCTGACTCAGCGTTCTCATTGTTACAAGAAATTGTGTCTGACTGGAAGGAAAATGCTGAGAACCGAGTCGTGACTCACGTCTGCTCCGTCTCTCTCCAGGTACTTTTAGTTTTTGCCAAAGAGGACAGTCAGAGTAATGGCTTCTGCTGCGCGTGTGACAAGGCCAGCTACAGGTGCAGCGTGGCGCGAACACCTGACTCTGCTCTGGAGTGCTTCTCGGAGAAGCACCACGACCTCGTCGTCATCGACCACAGACATTCCAGACAGTTTGACGCTGAAGCACTGTGCCGGTAAGATGGCAGCCTCATCACCAACACGCTGCTGCTCCTCGTTGTGTTCCTGAAGTGACAAAACTCCGTGTTTACCCAGAACCTCTCTGACCCGACACCTCTGATTGGTTTAAAGCTGGGTTTTGTTTGGTCTGATGAGGACAAAACAAGAAGAGTTCAGCTGTAGGTGGTTAACTGAAACACAGTGTTACACAACAGCACAACGTTTTGTCTCCCGCCACGAATCAAAGAGCCAACATGGAAATGCCCTCAATCTGTTTTTGAGCCAGTGAGCTGAATAACAGAAAAAATAAGTAGCGAGCCGACTTCCATTTTTGGTGTACGGCTGCATCCAGGCATAAGGTCCTCAACAATTGGGTTGCCATGTCAAAATCCAAGATGGCCACCACCATATACGTGAGCTATCGACCTCGATCAGTTGAGTTAACAGTGCTTTCTAGTAGGGCTGTCCTGATACCAGTTTTTCTCAAACCAACTATGAGTACTTCAGTTTTGGATACTCGCTGAAACAGAGTACTTACAAAGCTAGAACTTAAACATTATGCAATGACTTTAAAAAGAAAATTTATTTTGTTGAGAAGAAAGTGGCTCTACGTCCTTCTAGAACCACAACCTCTCTGACAGGATCAAACCAAATATACAGCATGATACAACGGTGAGCACAGCTAACCACAGTTAGATTCACTAATCTCTAATCCACTAAACAAGAATCTTAACTTTGCTAACCTTTAATCCACTAAAAAACAGCTCCACTAATCTCTAATCCACTAAACAAGAATCTTAACTTTGCTAACCTTTAATCCACTAAAAAACAGCTCCACTAATCTCTAATCCACTAAACAAGAATCTTAACTTTGCTAACCTCTAATTCACTAAAAATAGCTCCACTAATCTCTAATCCACTAAACAAGAATCTTAACTTTGCTAACCTCTAATCCACTAAAAAATAGCTCCACTAATCTCTAATCCACTAAACAAGAATCTTAACTTTGCTAACCTCTAATCCACTAAACAAGAATCTTAGCTTTGCTAACCTCTAATCCATTAAACAAGAATCTTAACTTTGCTAATCTCTAATCCACTAAAAAATAGCTCCACTAATCTCTAATCCACTAAACAACAATCTTAGCTTTGCTAACCTCTAATCCACTAAAAAAATAGCTCCACTAATCTCTAATCCACTAAACAACAATCTTAGCTTTGCTAATGCTAAACTGATTACAAAATTAGTGGAAGCTAAGCTAACTGCTAAAACGACTGTCAGTCTTCGTGTCCTTCCAGTTGAAGACTGGTGGACTGACACACACCTGTTGTTAGTTTTCTATTGGTTTAATTTGAAGGTGGGCGGGATCATTTGTGGCAAATCCACCTATTCAAACCAGAGTTATATCTCTGTCCATTTGACCGCTTTCAGAATAAAAGCATTTATTTGATGGTGTTTGTATTTTTATAAAAACAGTTGAAGTTAATCAAACTACACAGAAATACTGTCTCTGCCACTTCTTTTACATAGTCAGTTATTTTATTTATTTAATTATTAAATGTTATTTTGTTTCTTTTTGACTCTAAGACTTTGTTTAGCTACTAAAGATGCTACAAGCTAACAAACACTGCCCAACATGTCCAGCATGGCTTAGAATAGAATAGAATAGAATAGAATAGAATAGAATAGCCTTTATTGTCCCGCCGAGGGGAAATTCAGGTGTCACAGGCTTGTAAGAGGGGATAGTTCTTATTTCATTTGGGATAAATGACATTACTCATACATGAGTAGAACATTTAGGAGTTGTAAGGCCCTGATCCTGATTGGACTGACCGCGGTGTGTTTGGTTCTGTCTCTGACGGGAYGAAGGTCCAGCTGCTCAGTTTTCATCTCTAACTCTACAGATTTGTGTCTGATGAGCAGCGTCTTCTCCATCTTTAGCTCAGTCCAAAAACACATGAACAAACATCGACCGGGCTGCCCGCCGCGTGTTAACGTCTCTTACTTTGGGCCGATCCATATGTTCAGTGTACACACAGGGGATCTGATGGGGACGGGGACTAAAGGGTCTTTATGACCACTGGCTGTGGGGGAAACCACAGGCGGATGAGCGGTCCGGTACACTGCATTCTTTCAGGCCTGGGCCGGCTCACGGAGCTCCACGGCTGCCGGCCGGAAGAATCAGGTGAAAGAAGTGAAAGAGTCGATGGCCTGAGCTGCTCTCTGACTCAATGCTGCCTCTGTTTGTGTTCAGGTCGATCCGAGCGCTCAGCTCCTCAGAAAACACTGTGATAGTCGCCGTTGTGAAAAGGTACAGCTTCACTTTCTTTTTTTAATTAAATCATTATGGAGTTAACTTTGGGCCGTAAAGTTTGTTCAAAAAAATGTTATTTTGAAACTGAAAGAAACACATTTCAAACAGAGAAGTAATTTTAAACAGCCAGTGTTACAGCTGGGAATGTTTGGTCCAGCCTSTGTCAGTGATGATGTCACACCCATGGTCATCAGAGGCCCCGCCTCCGATGACCATGGGTGTGACATCATCACTGACAGAGGCTGGACAAAACATTGGTCATCGGAGGCCCCGCCTCCACATCAAAACAGAACCAGACGTTTGAAACTGAAAAATAACCCAAGTCTAACA